AAAAAAGAACCACTCCCACCAGGTTCTTGATTGTTTCTAGGGCATTTCAGTGGACAGAGCTGGGAAACAGACATACTCACACATATTATAAGATAAAATACGAGTTCATTCAATATTTCCAATTCAAAGTTAGGATACGGGATTTTTACATAGACCGCTTGTTTCTCCTTTTCTTAGATACTGAAAATTCTAGTTCCGAGTAACATTGTACTTTTAATCATTTGTTACACATAAAACAGTCACAACATTACCAACGCTACCTTCAGTAACACAGTTACTGAAAAGTTATGTCAGGAGGGAGATGAGTAATCAAATTTGTATTTCAGAATCATTTGAAATATTTTCTCTTGATGATTATATCACCAGTTTCATAAACATTTAGGTTACTTTGATTCATTTTACTTTCAAATTTTAGAGATTGAATTTTAATTTAAATCTGTTTTATAATTATGTAAAATATTTACATGTTTCCAAAGTTCAGTCTGAAAAACATGATTTTTTCTCTCTTGTTTTTTTTTTTTTTTTTTTTTTGAGATGGAGTTTCTTTCTTGCCCAGGCTGGAATATAATGGCAAAATCTCGGCTCACTGCAACCTCTGACTCCTGGGTTCAAGCGATTCTCCTGCCTCAGTCTCCTGACTAGCTGGGACTACAGGCATTTGCCACCACACCAGCTAATTTTTGTATTTTTAGGAGAGACGGGGTTGCATCATGTTGGCCAGGATGGTCTCAATCTCCTGACCTTGTGATCTGCCTATCTCAACCTCCCAAGGTGCTGGGATTACAGGTGTGAGCCACCACACCTGGCCTGCTATAGTGTTTTCACCAAGTTCTTCTCTAGATAAGTTTGGGTTGTTTCTATTAATTTGCTATTTTAAAGTCGTATCTTTTAATATTTTTGCCAATATATATTTGAGATCTGTGTTTTGATATTGGTATTTTTCCAGCATTTTATTATGAAAATTTCCAAACACGGCAAACTTTAAAATAATTTTATAGCCAACATCTATACTTATCATCACCTAAATGCTACCATTTATATCTTATATATTCATTTTACAGAAGTATCCATCATTAGGCCGGGCGCGGTGGCTCAAGCCTGTAATCCCAGCACTTTGGGAGGCCGAGACGGGTGGATCACGAGGTCGAGAGATCAAGACCATCTTGGTCAACAAGGTGAAACCCCGTCTCTACTAAAAATACAAAAAATTAGCTGGGCATGGTGGCACGTGCCTGTAATCCGAGCTACTCAGGAGGCTGAGGCAGGAGAATTGCCTGAACCCAGGAGGCGGAGGTTGCAGTGAGCCGAGATCGCGCCATTGCACTCCAGCCTGGGTAACAAGAGCGAAACTCCATCTCAAAAAAAAAAAAAAAAAAAAAAAAAAGAAGTATCCATCATTAATCCACCATGTTTTTTTGACACATTTCCTAATAAACTGTAGACATCTATGCACTTCTTCCTAAATAGTTTCAACATACATATCACTAAATGGAACTTAATACTTGTTTACAGTTTTTCCTCCTGATATAAAATTCATGTACTGTGAAATGTGTAAATCTTAAGTGCACATTCACAGTTTTGACAAATGCATGTACTTGTGGGATCCAAACTCCTGTCAATATACAGAACATTACTATTCACGCCAGAAAGATCCCTCAGATTCCTTCATGTTACTTTTGTGTTTTTTCTCGTTGCTTTCATGTTTTTCCTGCCATCAGTTTGGTTTTATAAAGTCACTGTAAATTTGTCTATTTTGGGTTCTCTATGGTTAGGTTTCTCTACTGATTTTGCTTATATTTTTCACAGCATTAATCTGTCTATTTCTGTAATACAACCTTAAATTACATCAGCTCTTCAGTGAAGATACAGATTTGATTCTCTCCTCACTCCCCACCTACAGTTTTTTTTCCTTTAAACAACTTCAAGATACAATTCTCATACTACAGCACTGAAATCTTTAAGTGTAGAGGCCAGGTGCGGTGGCCTGACAGGAGTAATCCCAACACTTTGGGAGACAGAGGCAGGAGTATCACTTGAGGCCAGGAGTTCAAGACCAGCCTGGGCTACATGGTGAGACCCCCATCTGTACAAAATTGTTTTAAAAATTATCTGGGCATGGCCGGGCGCAGTGGCTCACGCCTATAATCCCAGCACTTTGGGAGGCCGAGACGGGTGGATCATGAGCTCAAGAGATCAAGACCATCCTGGTCAACATGGTGAAACCCCGACTCTATTAAAAATACAAAAATTAGCTGGGCATGGTGGCGTGCACCTGTAGTCCCAGCTACTCAGGAGGCTGAGGCAGGAGAATTGCCTGAACCCAGGAGGCGGAGGTTACAGTGAGCCGAGATCGTGCCATTGCACTCCAGCCCGGGTAACGAGCGAAACTCCGTCTCAAAAAAAAAAAAAAAAAAATTATCTGGGCATGATGGCTCATGCCTGTAGTCCCAGCTACTCTCAGGAAGCTGAGGTGGGAGGATCCTTTGGCCCGGGAGGTTGAAGCTATGGTGAGCCATGGCCACGGCGCTGTGCTCCACTGTGGCCAGCAGAGTGAAACCCTGTCTCAAGCAGATAATAATGAATGAATGCATGGATGGGTGGTTTGGGGTATATTACATTATTAATTTTTTAAAATTGCAGTAAAAATAGATAACAAAAATTACCATTTTTACCGTTTTAAAATACACAGTTTAGTGGAAAATATACAATTTGTTGGCATCAGTAACATTCACGTTGTATGTAACCATCACCACCATCCATTTCCAGAACTTTTTCATCACAAACAAACTCTTATCTCCATTGAACACTAACTCCCCGTTTCCCCTCAGCACGTAGTAACCTCTGTTTGACTCATGTTTAGGAATTTGCCTATTCTACGTATCTCATCTAAGTGGAATCATTCCGTGTTCCCTTTGTGCCTGGCTTATTTTAACTAGCATACTGTTTTCAGGTTCATGCACGTTGTAGCATGTGTCAGTCTTCATTTCTTTCATTTTTTTTTGCGTATTTTTGTGGTGATTTACAGAATCTACAGTTTTAATCATTTTAAAGCGTACAATTCAGTGGCATTTAGTACATTTGCAGTGTTATGCAACCATCACCATGACCTGGCTCCAGAACGTTTTCATCATCCCAAAGAAAACCTCATGCCCCTTAAGTAGTCACTCCCTATCCTCCCTCCCTGCAGCCCCTGGCGGCCACTCATCTGCTTCCTGTCTGTGTGAATTTGGCTCTTCTGAATATTTCACGTGAATGGAATCATATACAGAAGTCTTTCCTGCCTGGTTTATTTCACTTGCATCATTTTTTCAAGTTTTGTTCATGTTGTAATATGTACTTTTCATGTTGTAATAAGTACTTTTGTTTCTTTTTATTGCCAGATAATATTCCAAAAAACATGCCATGTTTGGTTTATCCATTAGTTAATAGACATTTAGGTTATGTCCACTTTTTGGCTATTATGAATAGTGCTGCAGTGAACACTTGGGTCTTAAGTTTTCATGTGGTTGTATGTTTTCATTTCTCTTAGGTATAAACCCAGGAGTGAAATTTCTGGGGCAGAGGCTAACTCAGCTTAAAATTTTGAGGAACTTCCAGACTGCTTTCCAAAGTGGCTACATCATTTCACATACCCACCGGCAGCATATGTCGGTTCCAGTTTCTCCACATCCTCCCTCACGCTTGTCAAGTGTGTTTTTATTCTAACCATCCCACTGGCTGTGGACTGGTACAGCTCTGTGGTTTTGACTTGTCTTTCTCTAATAGCTAATGATGTACAGCATCTTACTGGCTATTTGTCTGTCTTCTCTGGAAAAATGTTTATTCAGGTCCTTGCCTTTTTTTGTGAGTAGGGTGGTCATTTGTCTCAACTAAAGAGGACTTGTATCTAGAATTCATAAAGCATTCTTTAAAAAAAAAAAAAAAAGAAACAGTGCTTCACTGTGTTGCCCAGGCTGGAACACAGTGGCCATTCACACGTGTGATCATAGCTCACTGCAGCCTCGAACTCCTGGCCTCAAGTGATCCTCCTACCTCAGCCTTCTGAGTAGCTTGGACTATCAGCATGAGCCACCATTCTCGGCTCTTTATAAATAATTCTTTTATGCATTCTAGATACAAGTCCCCTATGAGATACGTTATTTGTAAATGTTTTCTCCCATTTTGTAGACTGTCTTTTTTACTTTCTTGATGTTGTCCTTTGTAGTATAAAAGTGTCTGACGATGTTCAGTGTATGTACTTTTGTTGCTTGTGCTTTTGGTGTCATGTGGAAGAAACCATCACCCAGTTTAGGGTTACAAAGATTTCTGCCTAGGTTTTCTGCGACGAGTTTTCTATTTTCGCTCTTATATTTATGGTGTGAGGTAGGGGTCCAACTTCATTCTTTCTTTTGAGGTGGATATCCAGTTGTCCCAGCACCATTTGTTGAAAGTACTTTCCACTCTCCATTGAATTGTCTCTGGCACCATGATTGGGAAAGAAAAAATCAATTGACCATAAATGTGAGGGTTTATTTCTGGACTCTGAATTCTATTCTATCGATCTATATGTCTGTCTTTTGTTTTCTTTTTAAAACTCATTAATTTAAAGAGAATAGCTACAAAAGTATGCATTTACGAGCCACCGCTTTAAAACTTCTGTTTATGGTTTCCTGTATTTTATTTCGGTAGTTTCTCCCATTTTCCATAATTACCTCATTTAGTCTGTCATGCTGTCTGGAAGGGAGTGCCAGTGGTGAAGTATAATGTTAATGTCATCAGGATGATGATGATCCCATTTTTCAAAGATTGCTCTGAACACAGAAAGTATCTTCTGTTGGCAGTGATGACATAAAATGTTGAAAATAAAATATGGAAGCTTATGAGTCAAAGACTGTCTTACCTTATTTACATTTGAGATGCAGTACCACAAAAGTATGTTTAATTAATGGTTATAACTTGAATAAAGTAGACATTTCAGTACCATCAAAAATTATTCTTTATGATTATACATCTCTTTATAGTGTTCCTGAGTTGGAGGTAGAAGAAGAAACTCAAGTTCAAGAGATGACTTTAGATGAGTGGAAAAATCTTCAAGAACAGACCAGACCAAAGCCTGAGTTTAACATCCGGAAACCAGAATCCACTGTGCCTTCCAAAGCAGTGGTGATTCACAAGTCAAAATACAGAGATGATGTAAGCACTGTCTTTCGTATGTAGAGGTAATCTTTACTTTCACCTTACTGCAAGTGGAGTGGACCTTTCCACTTCTGTCGTGAAAATGGAACATTAGTGGTGGGTGCTCTTGTTTCTAATCAGAGATGACATTTGCCCAATTTTACTGTATCTTTATTGCTCATTAAGGAAAAGAATTGAAACTTGGTGTTACTGACAGAAAAGCCAAAGCAGTTTGAGTAGCAGTGCACCTCCTGCCCACCCCGGGCCTGTGCTGGGACTGTACACACACTGTGTGTTAACTGCATTTCATTTTTCTCAAGTAAGAGTCGCAGATCGTTTCTTGTACAACTCAAAGTTATTCAAAGGATAACTACACTCTGTATTCCCTGATTAGGTTACCTTCAGCTCTGATTCTTGATGAGAGCATTTCACTGTGAGTAGTTGATGTCTCTTTTCCTTTTTTTTTTTTTTAGTTGATGACTTTTTAAACTGTCGTTGAGGTGCCATGCTCTTCTGATGCCTTTCCCATGTTGGTTCAGCAGCTTTGCGCCCCCTGCCTAAATGCAGACGTGGCAGAAGATGAGCCCCCGAATTGCCTGGCAGCGCGGTCAGGCGCTGCCACAGTGGCCAGCATGCTGCAGAGGCTGCTCGGGGGGCTCCTTATTTCTCAAGGCTCATGTCTAGCTCTTCTCAGATGCTCCCGTTTTGCAGGGAGAGGTTTCAGGGGAAACATCTAGCAGTGTATGTTGATAGGGATGCCAGTGGTCATCGAGTCACCTATGTAAGTTACTGAACTTAAGGATAGGTCCGCTGAAGCATTCTCATCATGGGATTTAGAATCTGTGTCGTTCTGTTACAGCTTGATACCAGTCACTGTGTCGGGGCGGGAATGAGCAGGCTCTTCCTCTCTGGGGGGGTACTAGTCATTTGATTTTCGTTTGTAATCTCAGGAATGTTATACTATTGTAGAGTGATTTACACTTCGGTTACTTTTGTTTTCTGAGTGACTACTTTGATGAGAGGGTATTGAAGATACAGGATTCTCTCCCACCCTCTTGTTCTGGTCAGGCCAAGCTGTAGGAGGTAGTAGTAGCCTTACTACTAAGCTTTGAGCTGTTCACAAGAAATGGCTTTTTGTAGACACAGGCGGCCAGAGCTTGCTTTCCCTGGCAATCTCAGGCAGGTGTGTCTGAGTCCATCAGCCAGCTGGGTTGGTTCTTCGCGTGCCCACTCCCTTTGTTCTTTGTTCTAGGCATTGTAAATAAAACTTTCTCTAAAACAAATGTACTGTCAGGATTGAAATGCGCAGCCGACATGTTCGGTAAAAATAGAAGCCGCTCCTCTTTAATCCACGCCAGATGCCTCCTCCCTGGCTCCAGAGGTCTCCCAGAATATTTGAAGCAAGTGGGTTAGCTGAGTCATCGAGCTTGGTCTCAGTAAAGCACGCGCCTTGGTCCTTGTTAATCTTGGAGGACTGAGGACTTAAGCTAGGAATTGTTCTTAAAGCAACATAAGCCGGATCTTCAGTTCATCAGTTTGCTTTGTTCCGGACACCTGAAAAGACAGAAGCGCTGGAACGCCTAGCAAAGTTCAGACCTAATGACAACCCCGTGTGAGGCACTGGGCAGTGGAAGCACTTTGGCGGGGGCCAGCTGGAGCTGCGAGTGTAGCCCTTCGACTGAGTTCACTCCCTGTTCCGCCGCCCACGGCCCTTCAGAGGAAGGGCCCCGGGACAGGACTGACCAGCGCTTTCCCTGCCAGTGCCAAACAACGCAAGAGTTGATTATTTTCCCTGTTACTATTTTTGTGTGTTTACTTTTTTACAGAGTGCCAGTGCTCCTGGATTTTTCTCTTCATCTTCTTAGCATTAAGTGTCCAACTACCTAAAGCCTCTGCTTTCACCTGAGACCTTAAAGGGGACACGAATATTAAACGCGAAGCCACCCCCACCGCCGCCTCATGAGCCTATGGCCTAAAGGCATCGATGTGCTCATGGCAATTTTGTCCCGTTTCCTGGTTGTGGGAATGTTTACTGTTCCAGCATTTTGGAGATTCTCACCCAAGGTCATTGACAGGTTTCCTTTCTGTGGGATTTTAGTTTACTTGTTTTGTTTTGTTTTATCCATTATTATGAGTTGAAGCCAAATCAAATTTGGATCCGATTTAATTAATTTATGTAATATAGTCGTAACAAGACATAGAGTTTTAAGTAAAAAAAAAAAGCAACATCACTTCTTTGTGCAGCGTCGGTAGAGCACTCAGGTAACCGTACTCTGTTGTTTTATCAAATTTCTCTATATTTTGAGTCAGAATTGTTTATTATAAGTCACGTGATTTTTAGCACATGGTATTTATAGTCAGCACCCATACGGAAAGGAATTTCTCTGTTCTATTCTGGAAAGGGGACATTTCCTTATTTATCAAAGCATTTGCGAGCAGATAAGACAGAAAATAAGCAGAAATGAAAGCTTTATCTCAGCAAAATACACTTCGATATAAAACATATACATCGTTGGCTGTGATTACTCATGCCAGATCTTACATCTTAACCTGCTCAGCTGATAGAAGTTGGGTCCCACCCACCTTTGAATCATAGTGAGTTCACAGATGTTTGGAACTGCGAGAATGGGGGGCTGCAGCGCGTGCAGAAGCAGCTGTGCTGTCTCCTTTGTCCAGCCCTGCAGCCTAGGGCTCTGTCTAGCCCCTGCTGGTGTTTTAGCTCCTGGGCAGCACATCGCAGCCAGTAAGGCAGCTGAGTGTGGGGATGGCTGTGGACTTGCGTTTGAGGCTGTGACTGTGTTTCAGATGGTGAAAGATGGCTGTGAGGATGATTCCCATGTGTGCCGGAAAGCTGCCAACGACATCACATCCCAGCTGGAGATTAATTTCGGTAACCTCCCTCGTCCTGGGCGTGGAGCCAGAGGAGGCAGCCGGGGAGGCCGGGGAAGGATCCGGAGAGCAGAGAACTATAGGCCCAAAGCAGAAGTGGCGGTAGGTGTCTGTGTTGTAAGTCCTCAGGTGGTTTGCTGAAGGAAGTAAATAAGGGCGGTGCCCCGGGCCCAGGATGGTCTGATTTCAGAGGGTCATCGGTTTCTGCAGTTGCTGCTGCTTGTAGCCAGGGTGGGACTGATGTTGGGGCATTTGGACGGTGTCGTAGCATCATGGACATCCGTCGGAGCAAGACCATTCTGTAGCCCTGGCTTCCCTGGTCTGCCCTGAAGGCAGTCTCAGGATCGGAAAAAACTCACTCTCACCTGCATTAGACGAGCTCCCCAGCTCGGGATTGAACTGCAGCACCTGACGTTCAGCTTCCTGTGGCCTGATTGTACGTCCTGGGCCCAGGTAATGCTGGCAGAGTGGACAAAGTCCTCACTAAGACCTCAGACCCTTTGTGAGGGGACCTCCCTCACCCGGCTGACCTGCCTCACGCTGTCCCCAGCCACGGCTGCCCGCTGCTAGCTGTCAGCACAGCACGCGCCTTAGCCCTGGCCCCTGCCTGCTGGCCTGAGTTCCTCCTTCCAGCCTCACTTCCTCACAGGTTTCTTTGATCACATCTCCTAGACCGGCCAAGGCCTCTGAGCGGAGGAGTTTCTTTTCATTGAAGCCTGATCTCTGCGTGCCACTGGAGTCCCACTGGCGTGGTTCTCAGTCAGGCTGCTTTTGCTCACAGTCGGTTTACGCAGTGCCACGCCGTGCCTAGCATGTAGTGGGTGCTTTCTAATGTGGCATGGACACCGGTTCATTGGAAGTCAGCCCTGAGGCCCTGTGGCCAGCGTGGGCTACCGTGCGGTCCTCGTGATGATGGAGCAGACACAGATGCCGCCGTCTCTTTGGCTGGTCGGGGCATTGCTTCGCTTGCTGCCTGCCTCCTTCGCTCCGGGGAGCAGCCCCTGGAAGCAGTATCTGGTTTGTTTTTGCTTAAGCAAGAACAAAACCACAATTTTGGGGGCAGGGGGTATATTTGGGGCCGGGTTGGAAATAGGGTCTATTCTGAGAATAGGAAACACCCCCCGACTCCTTCCCTGCCGTGGAGCTCTGGCCCCTGCAGCACTCCGGGAGGGCGTGTTGGGAAACCGCTCTGGGAATCCAGCACCGCCCACCTCCCCGCCTTCCCCACCCCACAACCGCCTGGGGCCTGCGCCTGCCCCCGGCAGATCACCGTGTTTCCCAAACCAGGTCCGTGTGCCCTTCGCTTATCCTCCTCTGTTGAGGTTCATCCCAGGGAGAACTTTCTCTTCCCACAAAAGCTTGCCTGACCCTGATGTCTACTTTGCCACCAAATAACACTGGACCGCCCTCCTGTGTCCCCTCCTTCCCAGGACTTGTTAGTGAAGCTCCTGAGTCGACGGTCAGTTTCTCTGGCACCATGAGCTCCCGGGGATAGGCACTGTCTGTGCATCTCCTCCTCCCTCCAGTGCCCAACATGCATTAACCATTCTGTTTACTTGACGAAGGATGTGCCCCATGCAGAGCCCCCCAGTAAGAGTTTGCAGGACATGGGAAGGGGGGCAGCCCGTTTTGTGAGGGGCCGAGGCCTGTGTGGGAGGGGAGCTGTACTTTGCTGGGTTTGCAGTGGCCTGTGATTCTCCCCTTCCCACTATGGACCCTGCCTCTAACGCAGGGCCCTCGGTGTTGGTGCCAGGCCCCCGTTATCCCATTGAGATACTAGGAATGGGTGAAGGGGCAGTGGATTTCAAAGTATTTCTTTTCTTCTTTAGATGAAAGATGTTGCCCCCAACCCAGATGACCCTGAAGACTTCCCTGCACTGTCTTGAAAGAGCGCTACTTCCCGGCACCAGGGAGCTGCACCACACACCCATGGAGAGACTCTTGCTGCTGCGGGAAGACACTCAGACTCTAGGAACAATAGATGTTGCTTTTCCCATATCGTATGAATTCATTGCACTTTTTCAGGCTGCGCTGTTAGACAGAGGGGCTTCTTCAGAGGCTCGAGAGCAGGCCCTTTCTGTTAGGGTGAGCCTGGCCCTTTCCCAAGGAGGCCAAGAATGGCGATTGTGTTTCTATCGAAGGAATTTGAAATGACGTTCAGGAATAATGTTTAAAATGTGTACAGAGAGATTGTGTGGACTCTCCTCCACAGAAGCTTGGAGGGAAAGGGGGGTGAAATAGACTCCGCTGAGGCTCGCAGGAAGCTGTCCATTTCCGGAGGCTGTGCCTTTAGCATTAGAGGTGCATAGACCTGGAACTGTTCATGTAAAGCAGTTACAGCTTAGTTTTCAGAGACCAAGAGATTAAAATAGAGTTGTACTTACTGTTTACTTGTAAATGTTATCTACTCTCCTGGAATATTTTGAGTTCTGGTTTTCACTTAACCAATCATTTTAAATCGCTATTGTGTAGCCACTGGTCACGCTGTGTGACACAGAATCAGAGAAAGTATTGATATTTAATGGTGATTTAAACTACCTCGTGGTTTCTGTGTGCACACACACGTATCGAGTGTATGGGTGGTTTTTAGGAAGAATATTAAGTATATGACTTTAAAAACCATGGTCTTTAACCTGCCAAGCAAACGGACAGGGGTCATGGCAAAAGCGAATACCGCACCCTTTCTTCCGCAGGCAGTGTCAGCGTTCGGCAGCTGTGGACAAAGGCCTCTGCCCTCGGCCTGGGCAAGAGTTGTAAATAACAAGTATTTATTAAGCACTTAGAAGCAGTTTTTCTCACTTATTCCTGGCCCCAGTTCTAGAGTTCCTCTCTATTGCTGTTGGTGAAAGTTTGGGGATCGGGGTATACCTCAGAGGTTCAGTAACTCACCTGGAGTCCCGCCTTGAACACAGCTGGACCCAGAGCCACTCAGGCGCACGCACAGAGCACATCGCGTGCTGCAGAGGAAGCGGCCCGGGAGGGCCTGCAGTCCAGGTAGCTGTAGAGCTGCTGGAAGCTGGGGCGATGCTCTCCCTGCTTTCCCGTAGATACCTCAGGTCCTGTCTGCCTGTTGTCACCCAGTTCATATGCTCGCCTGTGATGGAATCTGAACGTCGGCCCCAGGATCTGTGCTTTTTTTCACTTTGCCACACCGTCTAAGGTGGCTTTGAACTGGAACCCAAGTGCAAATAAAGGTTGGTATTCGCTCCTGACTTGGTGTAGAGAAAACAGTCCTTCCGGCACTCCCAGGCCATAGCAGTCGGTCATGATTTTGTTGAATAATCACAGCTGAATCCGTACAGGTTAGGGTCCGTTAAAGGTGTTTGCTTTGGGTGACAGGCCGTTTTTGGTCTCTTATTAAATTACTACCTGAGTACTAAGGTTTATCAACTGAGCATTTTATTCCCTTTCCTGGAAAAGGCAGTGGATGCAAGTGGCCTGATTCCAGAAATCTTCACCTAGCTGCTGCAACATAAGGGCTGTGTCATGACTCAGTGGGTTTGAAGCTGTCCTACTGTCATTTTGCCCAACCGCGGCTTTGAAGAGAAGCCAGAGATTCCTTTTAAGGAACCTTCCTGTCCTGTCGTGAACAATACTCGAAAAGCCCATAGCACTAGGTTTAATGTTACAGTTGCAAAACAGTTGACAGTTCCTATCCCATAGAGCTGTGGAGTCCTGTGATTGAACACGGTTTGGGGGGACCCGGTGCACGTTCTGAATCTGGAATGGGCCGTATTTGCTCTCACTGACTTGGTCATGCGCCTGGATATAGGGGCTTTGATTGTGCCAAGGTGTCTGTAGCCCCGAGTGCCCCAGAGAAGCCAGGGAGGACAGAAGTGAAGGGCAGGGGAGCGTCACCAGCACACCATAGGGACAGCTAGATGTAGAGGCAGCAGGACCGTTCGGACCACAGGACCCCGGCCAGACTCCTCTGTGGTGCTTGTGGTGTGGGTGTAGAGAAGTCCTGGGGCAGTGCACCCTGGGCACCACGTTTCTGGCTGGCGACTTAAACTCAAGCAGATTAACCCCGTGAAAGACGCCCGCGAGGGTCTGTTGTCCTCAAGGCTCCTGAAAAGTGGAGGTCAAGCAAGCTTGAATTGGTTAGCTACACCCAGGCCGGACTGCTGGGCCTCAGGTGTCTGAGTAGTGCCTCCAGGGCAGCGCCTGAAGACCCAGCTCCGGGTGAGGTCCTGGGGCGGTTGCACACAGCCTGGCACCAGGTGGGAGAAACCACCCTGCAGTAACCGGGCTGGGGGGCTGGATCCTCTAGAGATGGGGGTGTTTGCCTGGGCGCAGTGGCCCACGCCTGCAATCCCAACACTCTGGGAGGCCTAGGCACACAGATCACCTGAGGTCAGAAGTTCAAGACTAGCCTGGCCAACATGGTGAAACCCTGTCTCTACTAAAAATACAAAAATTAGCTGGGCATGCTGGCAGGCACCTGTAATCCCAGCTACCTGGGAGGCTGAGGCAGGAGAATCACCTGAACCTGGGAGGCGGAAGTTGCAGTGAGCTGAGATTAGGCCACTGCACTCCAGCCTGGGCCACAGAGCGAGACTCTGTCTCAGAATTTAAAAAGGGAGGTGCTGCCCAAGAGGGAGGGGGTTGGTACCTCACTTGGGATGAATACCTAAGTTGCCTGTCAGACAAGTCTGGGAAGAGGCAGCCAGGACACACTAGTGTTTGCTGGGAATGCCTCCGAGGTCTGAGTCAAATGCTTTGAACATGACCCCTCTAACCGACTGTTGCTCAGGAGCCTTTGGTGTTTTCATTCTACACAAGGCGGGCCCCTCCGAGCCAGCTGCTCTCCTTCCCTGCGCTGGTCAGACTTCAGACCATTTCCTCCTGTTGATCAGCAAGTCCTTGCCATTCCAGTGCATGGAGCTTCACTGGAAGGACGTCACTGTCCTCTGAAACTGTACCGTGCGGTGCTGGCGGGTGCTCCGGAGCAGCTGGGCCTGGGTCTCCGGAGCTAGGAAAGGCAGAACCGCACGGCTGGCACCTGCCCTGTTCTCAGCAGCAGTGGGCCCGCCCGCCCTCTCCACGCACACGGCCTCTGCTGTAGACAGAAAAAAGATGTGCCCATTTTCTTTGGCTGCTGCTGTCTCCTTGAGCCTTCTGCAAGGATCCTGGCCCACGTAAGCAGCTTCCCTGAACCCTCCTACTTCAGACAACCTGGGGTGGGCTGTGAGCATGCGAGACCGCGGGCTGTTCTGCCCCATAGGGGCCTGTGTTGTGGAGGACAGGAGGTGTGGAAAGGGAATGAGGAAGGAAACATGCAGGAATATTTTAAAACCTTTTTATTATCGAATAGGATACAGATAAAAGTGCAAAACTAGACTGGGCATGGTGGCTCACACCTGTAATACGTTGGGAGGCTGAGGTATGAGGACTGCTTGAGGCCAGGAGTTCAAGACCAGCCTGGGCAATACAGTAAGAATGTGTCTCTACAAAAAAATTTAAAATTAGGTGGGTGGCACACTCCTGTAGTCACCGCTACTCGGGAAGCCACGGCAGGAAGATGGCTTAAGCCCAAGAGTTCGAGGTTACAGTGAGCTGTGATCACGCCACTGCACTCCAGCCTGGGTGACGGAGCAAAACCTCATCTCTTAATAAAAAGTGCAGAATTCCCCTGTAACCAAGTTTTCCTCCAAAGCCTGGCCATGAGGGCTGTGCTGATCGCCACCTCATCCCTGCTCACAGGACTCGCTGCCCACAGGTGCTCCCCTCACACCCGTGCTGCCTTTTCTTTGGACATCTTTTTTTTTTTTTTTTTTTTTTTTTTGAGACGGAGTTTCGCTCTTGTTACCCAGGCTGGAGTGCAATGGCGTGATCTCGGCTCACCGCAACCTCCGCCTCCTGGGTTCAGGCAATTCTCCTGCCTCAGCCTCCTGAGTAGCTGGGATTACAGGCACGCGCCACCATGCCCAGCTAATTTTTGTATTTTTAATAGAGTCGGGGTTTCACCATGTTGACCAGGATGGTCTCGATCTCTTGACCTCGTGATACACCTGCCTTGGCCTCCCAAAGTGCTGGGATTACAGGCTTGAGCCACTGCGCCCGGCTCTTTGGACATCTTTTAAGTCTGCAGGATGCCCCTCCACCCACCTGCTTTGCCTCTGCGCCTGTGGCAGATCTTGGTTACTGAAGGAGCAGCGCGTTTGCTTGAGGTCCTGGGAGTCCTGCTTTGTCATGCCTCGTCATTTTACAGTCAGACAAGGATGCCGTTTTCCCTGCTCCCTGGCTACTATTAGGGCGGGTAGAAGCTGAAACCAGATTCAGTCCCTGAGCCCCATGTTCCATCTACACACTCCTGAAATTTCCAGTGAAAGGATTAGTCCCTTGGGCAAAGCTGTTGGGAGACGGGACAGGAAACGGGACGCCTGTCCCTCAGCAGGTGATGAGCCACGAAGTGTGTCCCGTGCTCAGCCACTCCGAGCCACGTGGAGATGGCCATGGCGCCTAGCAGGGTACTGCACACCCTCAGGTCTTCATGCAATCAGGATGGGACTACGCCTTTCTGCACATCTCCTGTTGCTCCCGGAAAGCCTCTGCCTGAGCCACAAAGTTTCCTCGGACTCCAGATGACAGGAATTTTCCCAACCCGATAGCAAAGGTTTTCACACCCCTTATAGCTCTGCCTTGGGCCAATCAGTCCTCTGTGGGAAGAAGCAGAGAACCCACAAACGCCATCTCTGAGCTCTGTTTCTTTTCAAAACTGCCTACTCTCAGAAGGCTGGATTAATTCTATCACTTAGGGAGTGCCTGTCATGTGGCATCAGCTTGTATGTAAACCCCACAGGGGACTTCTGAGAGTCTCAAATGTTCTCAGACACTGAGGTGGGGTAAGACATTTCTCCTCAAGAACCACCACCCTGCAAAGGCACTGCAGGCGCCTCCAGGAGGGCTGCTCTATCTGGGCACCCATGTTGTGTGCTGCCCACCTCCCGGGACTTGACTCACATCGACCTCAGTGTGCCTGGCGCTCCCCGGGGTTGTGCGATGGACAGCTCACACAACTGTCCCGGCGGCCCACAAGGATACTGGCCACTGGTCTTGCATCAGAACAACAGTGAGAAAAGCATTTCAAGTATCCGAGGCAAGTTGTAAGCGAACTGACCCCAACTCGCGTGTTTAGCTGGTGAGGGGATGGAGGTGGAGTCATCGGTGATGCTGGGGACATTTTCAGGAAGAGGGAAGGTGGATAGAAAAGAAGCAGGAGCGATGGGAACGCCAGGTGGCCTGTGAGGGACGGGCTTGGGGAGGCAGGCGGTTGTGACCAAGGCAGAAAGACACTGCCTGGGAATTTTTCCTGAGGCTCCCGGCAGGCCCAGGCAGGGTGACTGGTGAATAGGCCCTGCGTTGACTGCACACCTCCGGGGCGCCCTCACGGCATCTGTGGAACAGCACCCCTGGGGTGTGCGGTGGCAGCCAGCAAGCCTGTAAGTGAACCTGTCGGCGCAGCCTTCAAAAATTCCACGTGAACTTTTGAAGGGGCTCCTGGCCTAAGAATGTGCAGGCGGCACTGCCCTCCTGCGCGGGCATGGGCCTGCTACCACCGCGGGTGTCAGCCCGGCCCTTCCAACCCAGTCACCCCGGGGCACCAGGGAAGGCCCTGGGCTGATGCCTTAGCACCCAGCAGAAGAACGAGGCAGAAACACCTGCTGAGAGGCTTCCATTGCACCTGGAGAGAACTTGCGGCGGGCAGCAGGGGTGTCCAGGAGAGACCTTCCCCGCAGGCCCAGTCCCTGTGGATCCCGAGCCAGAGCAGAAGCCGGTCTAGGAAGGTGACAACCCGGGACAGCCAACCATCGCTGGAAAAGGGAGGAGATGGGCAGGGCTGCACTTACCACCCCACGGGCCTGTCTCGGGTGTGACTTTGTGTGGACGGCAAGGACTAGTTTCCTGGGCCCAGCTCTCAAGCGCAGGCAAACTTAGGTCGGGGACCAGAAGGGCCATCAGCTGTCACCCTCCAGCCTGGCCAGTGAGTGCTGAGTGGACGCTCCACCACTATCTGAGGACAGGCCAACCGCGGGCCTGCCAGGGCGCTCCGTGTGCCTGCCTCCGGCTGGGTCCCGGCTGAACCTGCACTCGAGGCGCAGGCAGACGGGACGCCGCAGGCTCCACCGCCCAGGCCACCCTGAAGTCCCCGCAGGAGGAGGCGCAGCGGACCAGCTTCCAGGAGCCCGTCCTGCGCCGTCCCTCCGGGAAGCGCCTTCCTCTGCCCGGCCCGAGACTAAGCGGCTTCTCTGTCCCGTGCCCGGCCCGAGACGAAGCGGGTGGCCGTTCCCAGCTGGGGGCAGCACCAGCCCGAGGCGGGCAAGCGCATGGGGGCCTGGGCTGTCCGCTGGCACCGAGTAGGCGGGTGCGGGACGCCAGAGGCGCCGCATTCCCGGGGTCCCACGCCAGGGAGAACGGCCCCGCCTGAAAAGGCGTCTTGTTTAACACAGAAACACGCCCAGGGCCAGGAGAAACCATTGTCCTCCCCGAGTCCCACAACGCACAAAGGACACGGCCGCCCTCCCACGCGGAGTCCCTTCCCGCTTTAGAAACAGACTTGGCCCCGCGGAGCCTCCGCGGCCGAGCCGGGGCCTCCTTACCTGGGGATTTCGGTGTGGACAGAGTACGCGTCGTCCAGAAGCGCTTCAAAGCTATGCGGACTTGCTGCCAAAGAGACAGGCTGGGTTAGAGGCGGGAGGGCCCCCCCTCCCACAGGGGCCGGGGCGCCCCCCGCCCAGGCGCTGGGTAGGAACCTCGAAGGCTTTGCTCAGCGGGGTCCATTTCTCCCGCAATAAACGGATAGACGCGGTGAGGCTAGGACTTAAGGGCAGGCCGGGCCAACCGCTTGGAAGACAAAATGCCCAAAATCAATGCGGAAAAGCTAAGGCTAGGACGACAAACGGCAGGGCAGTGAGCGTGACCCACGACCCGCGGCGCTGGGGCCACTGTCCTCTATTCACTGAGCGGCTCACCAGCGTCTCAACAGCTGCTAACGGGGGAGGGGCGGGCAGCGGCGATTGCGCGTGGCGACAGCCCTCCTGGACAGCGAGTTTTTTTGTTAGGCACAATACACTCGGCTCTTAGCATGTGCCAGACACTTGTTCTCAGCGATGAACAAATATTAACTCATTTCACCCTCACACCACCCTGTAAGATGCATACTACCATCCCCATTTCAGAGAAGGGACGGGTTTAGGGAGCCAAAGTCACTCAGCGCAAATCTAAGCTACGGCAGCTCTTAGGTTTGCATTCAAACAGCCTGGGCCCACAACGCATGCTCTCAACAATTCTACCAAGCGGCTTTTTCCTGCAGCAAAAGCTTCAACATCTTTCACATTTTTGACCCAGAAATCCATTTTGTAGGAATTTATTCTAAGGAAATAGCCAGCACCGCCCAGGACGAATTTCTGCAGAACACTGATGTGATGCTGTGACAGTAAGACCTCAGAAGCCACCTCCGTGGCCAACGATAGGGAGAGTGTGACCTCCAGTTAGGGCAATACAGAGGAGCTAAAGGTCGTGTTCTTGGAGAATTCCCCCCAGGATCCTCCTTTCCAGCGCACCCACAGCTGCACTTAGACACACGGAGGGAAAGACAGCAGAGCGGATGTCACACTCCCTCAGCTAAGACTCAGCCATGTGCTTCTGTTAATCTAAACAGAAGTACAATGTTAATTGTAATCCAAACAGCTAGTCCAATTTTACCACTGAACAAAGTGAGGCTCGGCTGGCAGATGAAGGGTCACCGATGCCACAGAAGTGGCGGAGCTGCGGCAGGGTGCACCCACTGGGACTTGCTCTCACGGCAACTCGTGTCTCAGTCCACTGAGGGCCACGGGAAGGGGCCCTTGTAACTCCTCTCCCACGGCGCAGCCTTGCCTCTGAACAACCTCTTGAGACTTAACTTCAGCATGTGGGTCCCCACTTCAAAGCAAAATAGTTTACGTGACCTCTTTTTAAATGTTTACACCATTTCCCGTCCATAAAATTATGCTGCAGTTCCCCAAAATTTCAGATCCTGAGGGATCATAATCTGCTATTAGTCCCTAATCTATCCGTTCCCTAATTATCTAGAGAAAATGACCTAAAATATGACAAAATAGTGAGCTCAAAGATAGACCCCTGATACTGTTTTAATGTGTTATTTTAACTCTCATACTAATTGCTAAGGTAGGAATTCTTCTCCATTTCACTTAATGGGAGCACAGGGGATCAGCAAATCCTGCACACGGTAGTCAGGCCCTGGGCAGGGTGGCTCCAGATGACAGGGAAGGTAACAAGTCTCTACGGGCCTGGGGTATCCATAGCCTGCTGCCTCCCCCACACAGGCTTGGAAGAGATGGCCCTCCAGGTGGAACAGACATGCTGCATGGTTTCATCTGAAGCACTGCCTCCAAGCCGGCCAGCCCCCTCACAGCACTCAGGGACTTCACAGAGCTGCGTGGCGGGGCCAGCTGCCTGAGCGCTCGTGCGTCAGGGGAGCACCTTACCAGGCACTGGCCTCAGAAGCCATGGAGGGGCAGGGAAAGGCCAGTTTCCACAAAGCCAGGGTCTACACATACACACTCTGGGGGTCACATGTGGTGGGAGTCAGGAGAAGGGTGAGAAGGCAGGTCTCTGGTTTTTACTTTGGACAGCTGTATCCCAGTGTGAATCCAAGCACGGCTCCTTGGGGGAACCGGATAGAACTCAACAGAACACAGGGTGAGTCTGGGCAGCAAGCTGTGTGTGGGGTGTGGACACTGAAACCCTGGACTCCTGCCCAAAACTAGAGGCCATCAGAGGCAGGGCAGGTAGAGAGCACAAGGCCCGTGTCCGGGGTTGGACCACAAGCTGCGGAGGTCGCCATGGCCAGTGCTGCCACACCCTGGCGGGCAAAATGCCCTGTGGGACCCCAAGGGCCTGAGAGTTCTCCTTAGAAGTCTCCAGAAAATCAGACCTTTGCGTCCTGTGAGCTGGTGCCGGGGTGTGAGGAATGCTCACCACCTTAACCCACAGAAGAGGGCTGGACTGACTTCCAGATTCAAACATTCAAGCCCTCACCCCAGCCCCTTGAAATGTGGCTCTACGTGGACCCGAGGCCTTTAACGAGGTAAAATGAGGGCCATGGGGTGGATCCCCATCCAATCTGACCGGTGTCCTCACAAGAGGGGAGTAGATGGGAAGAGGCACCAGGACCACGCAGGCCCCGAGGACAGGCAGAGCCTGCAGCCCAGGAGAGAGGCCTTGGGAGAAACCAAGCCCACCCACACCTCAGTCGTGGACTTCCAGCCTCCAGAACGGTGAGGAAATGAACTTCCGCGTCAGCCACCCAGTCTGGGGTGTTGCGTTATGGCCATCCTAGCAGACCAGTACAGATTCCAGGGTGCTCTGCTTTACTCACTGCCTAGCAGAATTCAAAATGCTTGGTAAGGAACACAATAAACTAAAAGACTGTTTGGTTAACACTTTTAATTACATGATTATAATTATACAATTTCCATTGTTTGATATTTTGTATAAAACCAGTTACAACTCACAAGATTTTCAAATGTGACAATATGTATCAAACTACATATATATGCAAAGTTTACAGGCCATTAGGAAGCTTTATCTTAAAAATACCTTCAGGAAAATAAACATTCATTCAACCAGTTCTCTTGGCTTTAAAAAATATGATTAGAAATATACACTGTAAAAAAAAAAAAATCAAGACAATGATTAATACTGATCAGTTACATTTTAAAACTTTTAATAATCTGTACATGAGTGCAGGTTAGATAAAAGTCTGCAAATTATTAATAGAAAACTGCAATACTATCATTGGCTGAACATGTCTGCTAACAATTCTACCAGGTAATTAAGGAGGTAATTTCCTACACAGTATAGGTGAATTGTCCAGTCTTTCAACACATCTGGAGTCATCTCCACTCAGTGATGTGGAGAACGGAAGAGCAGCAGCTAGCCTCCCCAGGGCAGTTTCAGCGGGAGATAACCATTAAAGGAATGATAAAATAGGTTTTAAAAGTTGCTTTTGATGAGCACTGCTTTCTAAAACACAATGATTTTTCTTAAAATGTAGAAAGAGAAGCAGTTCTGTTAAGAACAGACATCCAATGAGTGCACTGCTCCTGTAGCTCCGAAGGTGACTGGGAAGAGGGAAGTCCCCAGGAGAGCCCTCGGGCCACACACAAGCCCAGGCCATCCGCACACTGGCCTCGTGACAAAGCTTGGGAACTCCTCTAAAATTTGCTCGGCCCATGAAGAGAGAGAGGTAGCAATCACCCTTGGGAGAGGGCTAGGGGGAGGCGGGGAGTGGGTGAAGGACAGGCCAAGGGCATCAAGCTCAGAACGGGGGAATTCTGGAGGCTGGCAGAGCCTTGTGCTGCCAGGAAGCATTGGCCACGTCAGGCCACCTGCTCTCACAAGGTGCTGCTCCCTGCGAAGTTCTACAAAAAGCGACATCCATTCGTACTTCTAGGAACCCAGTTTTGCAGATGGTCTTCGTCCGGACTGTGCCCGACTCTTGATAATTTTGAGTCCCCAGAAAGCTTCAAGGGCACTTAAAAATATTCACTTCTAATTATAATTCCATTTGCAAACTGTCCTGGTGTACTTTCAGGGCTATTTAAGGCTCTTAAGGCAATCTCTCCATCTGACACACACAGTTTCAAATTCCACAGCAACGTCTTCTGTAACGAGGACTCTACGTCAGAATGCCAGAAGATTCTGGGTGTTTGTGGTTTCAGTTGAGGGTAAGAGTCCATTCTCATTCATAGCAGGAAGAACTTTCCATCCCTCAAACCCAGAGACTTCCTGGATTCCAGAGATGTGGTCCCCGTAAGTATAACACTGTTGCTATGCAAACCATCCCAAGTCATTTGGTTATTATAAGGAATGCTTCCTCACCAAATCACAAGCTTCCTATGACTAATTTCAGTGAGCCAGTTAAATAGAAGGATTTTTACAAAGCGCCACAGTGATAGCAATTGTAGCTGGAAACTTGAGCAGGCGACATGAAGAGGCAGTTTATAAAATGAAAAAGGACTGTGGTTCCGCTGACGCCCTTCCTTTTCTTGGACGAAACACCAGGCGGCTTGTTCACCGGGAGGAGAGAACTCACAAGAGCCATGGCGGCTGCATGTTTACTCGTTCTGATGGGACGAAAAGCCAAACTAAGAAGGGGTCAGAAGGAAGCGCAATTTTCACAACTACCTGGATGATTATTTATGGAGGGGATGGCCTTAAAAAGGGTAAGGGGAATTAGAGGTGCCCTGAGAATTCAATGCTTTGTGCATGGCACGGTTTGAATATTTATATTGTCTCAGCAAAAGGAATGATCCTTCTGCCACCCAAATCTTATTGAAGAGTGGTCTTCCCACAGGCAAGTGAGTCTTTGTGCCCATTCATTTCCAGGGACAGAACACCACTGTTTTTCTGTGATCCAGCCCCCGGTGTTTAAAGGCTGGCCTGACCCAACCCCGTAGTGCCTGGTGGGGAAAGAGTCGTCTGTTTGGCTGAGACAACGGCGTCTTCCGTCTCCCCCGATGCCGGTCAGTTTTATACTTTCTTCCTTATAACGTTCACCAAAATGGAGGCACTGCCTTTCAATTACTTTTTGCATTAAAGACTTTAACCTATTTATTCCAACTGCTTTTATTCCTAGCAGTTTTGAGAAGAGGGCAGCTTCTTAAAACGGAATTGCCTACTGATCTGGCGCACGCCCTGCGGCTTAGGAGGGCATTTGGCTCCCACTGCCTGTCCACCTCTTGGCCCTCCACGCTCCCAGCACAGGCAAAAATGGGTTAACAATCATTAAACCACCCACTTCTTATGGAAGGAACTGAGGTGAGTACTAAATATTCTTTTATTTGGGGCCCCATTTTTTTTTTTTTTAAGCAGCAAATCAATTCTGTGTCTGTAACTGCTCCACGGCACAGACTCTGCTGCGTCCCAGCACGGCTGCGGGAGAAGGCACTTGCAGAGTTAGCTGTGTTCCCTAACCAAAGGCAACGGTGAGGTCCAGAAGCAGATCGCTGTCACTGAGATCGCAGGCCACGTCAATGGCCTTCGGCTGATCTCAGGAGGAAAAAAATTCCAATGTTACAGAGAAGGACTCTAAGAAAGCAGTTAACTTTTTTTCTTTAAAGCCAACATTATTTGGAATTGCGGTTTCCAAGGGGAAAAACCAACAGTGTGTTTTTTCCAGGCATGGAAGGAAATACGATTTTAATTTGTATGACTGGCAACCAAACAATGGGCAGCGTTGCAGTTCTTCAGTCCCTTGACAGAGAAAGGAATGGCTGGAACATCTTCCAACTCTGAAGTCAGCTTCTCCTCCTGAGTCTTCTTTGACCATTAATATTCTCTTGCAAGTTTTAAGTTACCAAGGTACTACCTGGTATTACAACACTCAACAGCGTTTAAATGTAGTTTTCACAGATTCTCGTTAATAAAGCACTCTTTGGTGGAAGACAAGCAGCTTGGGTACTTAACAGAGTTAACATTACAACAGTATTACAAAGAGTCAAGTGAAGACGATTAAGCCAGATAGTATCAAATTACAGAAAGTACCATTTCAGTAATGCCTTTTGTACTTTATAAATTTTGACACAGGGTCACAAGGGGAACAGAAAATAAATACATAAAAAAACCTCCATCAGATCCTCAGTTCTTCTGAAGGCCAGCGACTACAATGATTGCCATCACAGGGACACACATGCACCACAGACCGGCCAGCTCTCTGGGTACCAGAGGGCTTGGGTATTTACACCTGAGACTAAATTTACAACAGCATTTTTGTCGTTAAGCTTGAGAGCTGGGCCCTTCTTTGAGTCACTGGCTTGCACCCAAACTCCAAATTCATTATTGAAACTCCAGTGGACATTTTTCTCCATTGAACCAACTTCTTAGGTGGAAAGCAACTAAGGCTTTTGCAATTTTGTTTTGTTTTCAAATTGTGCTAATTTCTGTCGCAGTTTTCAGTTCCTACAGTCTTCCTTCACCTCTGGTCACAGGTTTTCACTTAACGCAAGACTGTTTTAGTCCTTGAAATGGAGAGACTACAGGGGGAAAAAAAGGATTTTTACCATAAAGTTTACACAGCGTTCACAGGCAGTTTTCAAAGACAAGGAGGGTAACATAATAAAAATACTGACATGCTAAAAAGTATGCGCCTGCTGTAAGTTTCTAACGACAAATGCTCTGGAGAAGACAACACACTATCAACCACAAAGAAAAGACACACGGGAGAAAGGGAGAGCAGGAAAGGTTCAGTTCTGCAAAAAATAGAAATTTTAATAAATAAATAAAAACAATAAAAGACGGACGGGCAGAGGCAGCAGAGCCAGGAAAGTACCATGATGCCGCCAGGGGCACGTGCTGCAAAGCACTCCTCCTTCCTTCCCTCTGAGGAACCAGGCTGCGGGAGGAGCGGGAAGAAGGAAAACACAGACAGCTGTTACTGGGTTATTTCAAAAGCCAGAATTTGGTCACAGAAAAAGCTCTGGCACCTAAGCAGTTTCCAGCTCCGCCGGGCACGGGAGGCAGCCCCCGGGTGACCTGCCTCCGCACTCCACAGTTCTCACCCTGCCTCTCTCCTCTCCTTTCCCAGTTTGTGATGCTACACTTTCAGCTCAATAGCAACTGTCAGAAAACAAACAAAACCAAAAGAAGAGTCAGAAAAACCACTTCCAATCTGGAGGGGCCCCTCTCCCGATGCTGCTGCTGCTGTGCTCTTCAGGGAGGAGCGTCTGAATTGATCATTTCGCTTTGAGAGATCCCAACAGAGCACTGAGTCGAAAGATCCGGGTCAGCTGGTGAGGCAAGTGGGAAAATATCTGGAATTTCAAAGGATCATTAACATTTTAAAAGACTGGAGAGAAACAGTATTTAAAAAAAAAAAAAAAAAAAAAAAAAAACCACTTAGAGACAACCTTCTGGGACTCCTCTCCTGATGGACTTTTGGAGATAATGGCAGTAGCCAAAAATTCATGCCCAGAGGCAATGGAACAGGCACAGAGATCTGAGGCTCCGAGGGTCAAGAGGCAGTGGCAGGTGTGACATGGGCAAAGCCACACGAGAACACTGAAGAAGTCAGAGGCCCTAGCTGCAGCTAACTCCCAACTGAAGGGCTCCTGAAAACACTCATGATTTTAGAGACTAAGGAAAGAGGCCAGGTGTGGTGGATCATGCCTGTAATCCCAGGACTTTGAGGGGCTGAGGTGGGCAGATCACCTGAGGTCAGGAGTTCAAGACCAGCCTGGCCAACAAGGTGAAACCCCACTCTACTAAGAATATAAATAAAATTTTAGTCAAGTGGTGCACACCTACAATCCCAGGTATGCAGGCGGCTGAAGAATCGCTTGAACTTGGGAGGTGGAGGTTGTAGTGAGCCAAGATCACACCACTGCACTCCAGCTTGGGGAATAGAAGGAGATGCTGTCTCATATTTTTTAAAAAGGCTAAGGAAAGACCCTGAGCATTTCTCTCCCCGACCCCTGCAATATGAAGAATCAGGTACAAAGCACCCCAAAGCCCCAGACCTTAGGTTTGGGTTGGCAGCTGCAGCAGAAAGTGATGGTTCCCAATGACGCAACTCAGAATTAAAGTCACTTGGACATGACAGTTTCTTAGAAAATGAATGAAATTATCATTTAAAAAAAAAGAAGAGCCTGCCCAAAAGAAACAGCGTAAGCTAACACAAGCACCGGTGGAAGGGCTGCATGAAGACATGAAGTGAATGTGAGCAAATGAGGCAGCTGCAGGCTCTCCACTCGGAGCACGATGAAATTTCCAAGACTGGTTTAAGAGAGCTCTTCAGAGAGGTTATGTGGGAACACTGAAAACAGGTCAAGTCAATGGAGCCAATTATTCACTGGATTTATTAGTTCTTAAAAGAGAAAGGTTAGCATGGGTTTACAGCTCTAATAGCAACTGGGAGATGGAGAAGCCCACTCACCTCCCTCTCCAGACTCGGGGAAGGGAATGAGCAGATGCCACACAGAGCATTGGCAGGGCTGAGGGCTACACACGTTGCCTGGCCGCTGTCCCAGACCAGTGGCCACGTGAAATTTAGGAGTCAATGTGGCACAGCTTCAAATGGATACAGGAGGGGACAGTCATGTGCTGTTGAGAAACAGTGGCACTTTTTCCCAAAGACAAACAGTTTAAGACATCGCTCCTATTTTTTTAATCACCCCCAAGTTACTGCTCTTTTGTGGTTTGTGGAAAAGTTCCCCCAAAGCTGAAGTGCCTCTCAGTAAACCCGAAAATCAAAAGTGCCAACTAAGTGCAAAGTGAGTTTGGGTGGAGTCTTCATTCTGGACACCAAGGAACATGAAAATGGAAGGTCAAGTTCCTATGCGTCACCAAGGTGACAACGAACCAGTAAGAAATGGCAACCCTGGTGCCTTGTAGGGAGGGATGAAAGGACCCCAAAGAGTGCTCTATTTTTTTTTTCCACTGCTGTTTAAAGATTTCAACTCAATACTTTGAATTTACTCAACAATCTCAGCTCATACTATTTTGCCCAGAATCAGACCATGCACCAACATTCTAATTCCCTCATTACCCTGCAACCAGAAATGAATACTAGTCAGCAGGATATTATGAATAATATTCAGGATAAAAGCTCCAGGCTACGGCTTGGCTGCCCCCAATTCTCAAAAACTATACATAATTTATTTGCCTTTCTTTTGTAAGCTGTAGGTGGATAACAGGTAAGGTGATGTGAACACAGGCCAAAGCCCCAAAAGAGGCACAGAACAAGAACCCGCACAGAGGAGCTGGTTAAATAAACCGTGAGCCCCAACTCATCCTCACTGCTCAACTCCTTCTGCTGTCCACATCATCTCTGAAAGTCCATGTTGGAATTTAAAGTAAGTCTTTCTGGTTTTCAACATTATCCAGAATTCCTGGAAACTGGCTTGGGCCATTTCAACATTCAGTCCAGATCACTGACTGTGCAATCTACCTTAAGAGCCTCAAAGCATCCTCACAGGGACCTCAGCCAGATGCTCACTGCAGCCAGGAACCACTTCTCCAGAGAAGCAGGAGTTCAGGTCACCAGAATAACGTGAAAAAGCAACAAGACCTAGATAGAAAAACGGAGGCAAGACCAGCCCTTCCTTCCTCAGAGGAAGCTGGTGTGACCTGGCAAGCCTCAGCCAGGCTTCTGGACTCTATTCCTCTATAGCCTAAAATGCATAATCTAAAAAAGCAAAAAGCAGAATTATATATGCAAGACACACTAGGCTGCAATAAAAGCGTGAGCAGCTGGGCACAGTGGCTCACACCTGTCGTCCCAGCACTTTGGGAAGCCAAAGAGGGTGGATCTCGGCCGGGCGCGGTGGCTCACGCCTGTAATCCCAGCACTTTGGGAGGCCGAGGTGGGTGGATCACAAGGTCAAGAGATCGAGACCAGCCTGGTCAACATGGTGAAACCTCGTCTCTACTAAAAATACAAAAAAGTAGCTGGGCATGGTGGCATATGCCTGTAATCCAAGCTACTCAGGAGGCTGAGGCAGGAGAATTGCCTGAACCCAGGAGGCGGAGGTTGCGGTGAGCCGAGATCGTGCCATTGCACTCCAGCCTGGGTAACAAGAGCGAAACTCCGTCTCTTCAAAAAAAAAAAAAGAAGGTGGATCTCTTGAGGTCAGGAGTTCAAGATCAGCCTGGCCAACATGGCAAAACTCCATCTCTACTAAAAATACAAAAATTAGCCAGGTGTGGTAGTACACACCTGTAATCCCAGCTATTTGGGAGGCTGAGGCAGGAGAATCGTTTGAACCCAGGAGGTGAAGGTTGCAGTGACCCAACAGAACCACTGGACTCCAGCGTGGTCGACTCCAGCCTGGTTGACTCTGTCTTTAAAAAAAAAAAAAAAAAAAAAAAAAAAAAAGGCCTGAGCACTCGTACTTAAAAATAATATATCCCCTTCAAGACATGCCAAAATCAATTGTCATAAACGGTAGATTTTTTATTTAATTTTTTTTTTTTTTTTTTTTTTTTTTTTTAAAGACAGAGACTTGTTCTGTTGCTCAGGCTGGAATACAGTGGCATAATCGTGGCTCAATGCAACCTCTGCCTCCTGGGTTCAAGCGATTCTCCCGCCTTAGCCTCCTGAGCAGCTCGGATTAAAGACGCCTGCTATCACACCTGGCTTATTTTTGTATTTTAGGTAGAGATGGGGTTTCATCATCTTCGCCAGGCTGATCTTGAACTCTTGACCTCATCCACTGGTGTCTGCTTCCCAAAGTGCTGGGATTACAGGCATGAGCCACCACGCCCAGCCTGAATTTTTAACAGTTTGGCTCACCTAAAAGTGTCAGTTAAAACACACCCATTTCCCTTCACTTACTGTAGAAAAATTGGAAAATAAGATGATAAAAAAGAAAAAAGAAAAAAAAAACTGTCCTACAAACCAGAACTTGTATTAGTATCAGGGCATATTTTTCCTTTGTCTTATTTTTATACATAAACAGAAACTTATTCTTCTATAAATATAGATGTATTGTAGGCATTTCTATACATAAATAGTATACTTACAAAATTAGAGTCATACTTCAGAATATTTCTTTTTTTTTTGAGATGGGGTCTTCCTCCATCTCCCAGGCTAGAGGGCAGTGGCACAGCAGTCTTGGCTCACTGCAACCTCCACCTCCCACATTCAAGTGATTCTCCTGTCTCAGTCTCCCCAGTAGCTGGGACCACATGTGTGCTCCACCACGCCCAGCTAAGTTTTATATTTTTACAAGAGACTGGGTTTCACCACGTTGGTCAGGCTGGTCTCAAATTCCTGACCTCAAGTGATCCGCCCGTCTCAGCCTCCCAAAGCGCTGGGATTATAGGCGCAAACCGTACTTGAGAATTGTTATGTGTGGCTGTTTTCACTCATCGCTTCGTGAACTAAACTGTATGACTCCCAAAGCATCTGGCATAATGTAAAAATGTTGAGCCCATTTCCTGTTTCTCACTGTTAAAAATAAGACTCTGCATTGTTCCAATGCACCTAAATCTTTGACCTTTCATCAGTTTTTCTCCAATATTCTTCTCCAGTACAACTGAACAGTAAAGAAACAGGAATATCTGATACATCTCTGATGAAAAATTTTAAATCCTGAAATCATGAGTCAGTGAGTCCTCAAATCCTCATGAAGCACTGCAGCATCCCCATGTGAAGTGTGCAGTACAGTTTACAAAACAAACAGCAAAGAGGAAACACAACACAGCTGAACAAGTCCTGGAAACGCACAGCGCACAGAGCTCCTAGCTCTGCCAAGGGGCTCTCGGGAGACTGGCTGTTTTGCGCTGGGGACTAATTTCACACCGATAAGGCCCCTAGGCCCAAAGCCTCACATATACAGGGCAGGGAAGTCGAAAAGAAGCGAGGCCCATGTGCAGGATGTTTTAAAGTCTGGTTCTGGTTATCTCCTGGTCACTCACGTCTATTAGAAGAGATCATTTTTACCAGGAGGACAAAAACAGGAATGCATGGGCTGCCAACACCAGGCAAAGATGAAAAGGTGCCCCCCTTCCACTCCTGGGCCATCTGTTCTCTCTTCAAATGGTATCTGTTTTCAGAATACTTTAAAAATGACGTGTCCACTTCATGAGAAATATCCAAAGACAACAGAATCACCGATGTGGTCACAGAACACATTGGCTTCCTTGTGAAATTCTGCCTACACTTACTGAAGACAGTGATGACAGTGAAAGAAGTAACTGAGCCTCAGGTGTGAGCTGTGGCCAACAGGACAAAGAGTCACCTGGTAGAGAAGGATCCCCAAACTCTCTAGAGTTATCTCATTTCCACCATCACACTAATTTGTAGCTAACT